GAGAATCGAAACTGGGTCTTCTACAAGAGCAGTACATGCTCTTAACCTCCAAACCATCTTTCCCCCCTTTGTCACCTTGGATCATCCACTGTCTTTAAAAGGCCATCTGGGTCCTGGGTCCTCTGGATCTCTGCTGGACATGGTACTGAATGATAAGGTTCTGTCCTGGCCAACTTTGCTTCCCAAGTGCCCTTAGGGCTGAGGGTACAGGAATTCTGTAGTGTTTGCTCCCTCCTCCCCTACCAGGTGACTATAGCTACAGTTGTGTTCTGTTTTGAAGTTCATACAGAAGTCAGATGGTGGTGGCACATGCCTTTAATCTCAGCACTCAGGGATTGGGGTGGTGGTGCACAGGCAGGTGGATCTCTTAAGTTTGAGGCTAGCTTGATACAGAGCAAGTTCCAGAATAGCCAGGGCTACACAGAGAACCCTTATTTCAAAAATAAAAATAAAATAAAATTTATACAGAAACTTGAACATACTGTAAGAATTCTTTCTTTTGGAAGTGGGGCTTTGGAGCCCTTCTGTATTCATAGTGTAGCTGTCCTGTTAAATTCTGCATTCTCACCACACAAAAAAATACCCAGCTTACACTCATCCCCAGCTCCTGACAATCAGCCTTCCCACTGCTTGGTTTTGTATTTGGATAAGTGGCATATGAGGTAAAAGACAGCACCCTACATGCCTGGCTTTGTTTGCATGGCAAATCCAAGTTGCAGTATGCAGGGTGAAGTGGTACCCACCAGTTAGCTGATGGCCAGTGAGACTGTCAGTTACTTTTGAGTGAAATTGATGTTTGATGTCAGCCCATTTACACTTGTGGCCTTTCTATAGGTGATAGACTTAGGCTGAGAAAACGGGCTCTTGGTGCCTTATTAGCTGTAGCTCCAAACAATTGATGGATTGATTTTTCTCCTTCACAGCTATTTGCATGCAAAGAACATCATCCACAGAGACATGAAATCCAACAGTATCCTTTGGTATTGAATTCTCAGCTTAGGGATCCAAGAGGTCTTTTACATATATGGTTCATGGTGCCAAAAATGGAGTTAGTTAAAAAGCCAAACAGAACTTCTACAGCCTCCACCTTACTGCAGTGCCTGTGTCTATGAAATTTCCTTGGAACTTGGAATGAGCTTGAACTCAGCCTGGTTGAATTATACAAAGTTTGCTTGAAAGTTTATTAGCACCTATTTATGCTTCATCTGTGGAAGTACATCTCATTGCTGTACATACAGATGAGAAAGTAAATACTGGCCAGATTTTCAAGATTTTGGATGTTATTTCCCATCCTCTGATGCACATGTTACCAACAAGTCCAAGGTGGTTGCTGCCTCTTACTTGGTCCAAGCAGCATAATATCATCTATAGAATCAATGAGATACTTTGTGGAAGACACATGTGATCAAGATCCCTTCAAACTGAATATGACACAGAGCAGGAGAGAATATCCTTGAGGTAAAACTATGAAGGTCTATTTCTGGCCTTGCCAACTGAAAGCAAATTATTTCTGGTGGTCCTTATGGTAAGGTACCAAAAAAGGAAAAAAAAAAAAAGGATTTGCTAGATCACTAGCTGCATACCATGCACCAAGAAGTATGTCAAATGAAGGACAGCACATCTTAGAGTAGCTCTAATTGGATGGAGTTTGATAGTTAACTTGTCATTCTTTAGGTCCGCTCAGTCTTCCTCACTGGCCAGATAAGAGAAGGGAGATGTGGTGTGAACCCCTGCATCTTTCAAATGTTGATGGTGGCTGCTAGGGATGTGATACCGACTTGGATTCAATATTTTCCCTGGCAGAGGCTTCAGTGTAGTCTTTACAACCATTAACAGCCCTCACAACAGTCAGGGAACCATTGTAAGAATTCTGGCAATTGGGAGAGTAGAGCTATACTAATTATATATTCTGGGAGTGGGGAAATAATCACAGGGTGAGTTTGGGAACCTCTTGTGAGCTAGATTCAGCCAAAACTCCACTAATCACCTGGCCTCCACAAGTCCGTTTTAACTGGAGGGCCACAATGTTTCCTGGTATCTCCTAGAATGGGCACCATTTCAGAACAATGTCTGATTGTTTCCTTTTCTCCAGCTACATATTGTCCTTGAGTGTTTAGGAGCTAGCCTAGAGGCTACTGTTAGAAACCGAATTCCCTTTTTCTCATACCAGTTGTCCACCTTTTATGCTGAGAGATGGTACATAGCGTGGCCTAGTAGTGTGATGCTCAGCCCACAATTAGTGGCCATGACTGTCTCGATACACTTTCCTGAAGTAAGCTTTTGGCAGCAGAGCACTGCTCCCATGGACCAGGTCACAAGTCAGATGCAGAAGTGAGCTGATGGAAGTCAGTTTTTTAAAGAAAGCATTTGGTGGTGAGGCTGCTATTTGTTGCTCTAATGAGTGCTACATGTAGGCAGGCAAGGGTGAGCAGTCTGGGGCCCAGTTATTGGCTATCACTTCCTGCCTCCTGGAAGACAAGTAATTTTGGAATTTGATTTAGTAGTGAGACAGATGAGGTAGAAAGCTGTAATGAACGCTGTAACTGTCAGTCTCCTTAACTAGCATTGAGATATATTTCTCCATGAAGGCCTCACAGTGAAAATTGGAGATTTTGGTTTGGCAACAGTGAAGTCACGCTGGAGTGGTTCTCAGCAGGTTGAACAGCCCACCGGCTCTGTGCTATGGATGGTGAGGAAGCTGGCCCCATACAACTTCCTGAGCATGATGGCCCAGAGCTGGGTGCAAATTTGACAACAGTTCTGCAGTTCTGAGAGCCTGGTTGACCCCTGGTGTCAGCTTAAGGCAAAACCACATATCTCCTAGAGTGGCAACAAAGGCCAGAGCCTGGGGATTGAGTCTTTGGGGAAAAGCTATCCTGGGCTAAGGACTGACAACTCCCCTCCTCCCCAGGCTAGCTGGAATAGCCTGGCTCCTGAATATCTCTGGAGCCTATCACCCAGGGACTAACATACTTTGTCCTCATAGGCCCCAGAAGTAATCCGAATGCAGGATAACAACCCGTTTAGCTTCCAGTCTGATGTCTACTCCTATGGCATTGTGCTTTATGAGCTGATGACTGGGGAGCTTCCCTACTCGCACATCAACAACCGAGATCAGGTGATCTGCACGGGGCCTGGCAAAGCAGCAAGGGGCTAGTTAGTCCCAGTGTTCTGTTGTTCACAAACTCCTTTGCTCAACTCTTTAGATCATCTTCATGGTGGGCCGCGGATATGCTTCCCCAGACCTTAGCAGGCTCTACAAGAACTGCCCCAAGGCAATGAAGAGATTGGTGGCTGACTGTGTGAAGAAAGTAAAGGAAGAGAGGCCTCTGTTTCCCCAGGTTAGATGGAGCTCAGTAACTCAAATACTGATTACATTCTGGGGGTGTAAATGTGGCGGGCTAGGGGTTCTGTAGAGAGGTGTGGCTGGGGAGATACGAGTCCCTGACTTAACGAGACCACGTGGGGCCTTGTTTCAGATCCTGTCTTCCATCGAGCTGCTTCAGCACTCTCTGCCGAAAATCAACAGGAGCGCCTCTGAGCCCTCTCTGCATCGGGCAGCCCACACTGAGGACATCAATGCTTGCACGCTGACCACATCCCCAAGGCTACCGGTCTTCTAGCTGATGATGTAGCGGTTCTTAGGCCACCAGGGGAGGAAGAAGAGTCAGCAGGCACCACTGTTTCCTTGGGGGCAGAATGCATGTTTTCAGAGAAGCTGCTGCTAAGGACCTAGACTACTCACAGGGCCTTAACTTCATGTTGCCTTCTTTTCTACTCCTCCTGCCCTGGAAAATGAAAAGGAAGATGTCCACCATGCTAGCCTGCTCTTCTCCAGAGGTATACAAGTCAGCTGAGTATTTTAGGGCAAGAAAATGGCCTTGGAGAGAAGTCAAAGTGGCTGGCACTCTGGCTGCTGCAGGGATGTGCAGTCGGGAACCTGACTCTCTGAGCCTATCTGCTGCGTGGCACAGATTGTGCAGTGCCAGTTTTGCACATGGAGTCCTGGCCACCTGGGGAAGCCTGCTTTGGTACTACAGAACTTCACTTTGTGGACACACCCTCCTCTTACTGTGTCTAAGGTGTCCTGTGTGGATGGCTTTCCAAGCGCGGTGCTCCACCTTTGGGCAGCCTCCCACACGCTGAATCTGTCTTCCAGGAGCTGCCCCTATGGGGTGGGCTGCAGCCCAGCCTATCTCTAGCCACATCCTTGTCTGTAAGAAAGCCAGAAATACAGGTTTTCTTAATGATTTTGGGTTTTAATTTTGTTTTTATTGCGCCTGACAAGATACAGTTATCTGATGGTTCCTCAATTATGTTATTTTAATAAAATAAATTAAATTTAGGTTTAATGGCTACTGACTCCTTCAGAAGTCATACTGAGCTTTCAGCAGACATCCTACTTGTTTGGTTTCTTGTGTACAATTCAAGGAGGGTCTGTGCTGTGTGAGCTTTTTCTGCAGTTACATAAACAGCCAAGCAAAAAGCACATAGGTTTGATACTCCCCATACTATAAGGAGTGCATTTATAAAATATTTGGTATCTACAGAGCTTTTTACAAAAATAAATTCAGGGTTAGAACAAACTTGCTCTGACTTACAAGGTTATACACACTAATTTACAATCCAGCTGTCTTGGCCTCATATCCCCTCAGGACCACAAAAACAGCATAGAGTAGGGCCTGCTTTCAGGTGAGAACAAGCAGTTTGAGTGTAACACCTCAGTGTCTTATGCTGTCACTACAAGGGAAAGATGGCATTTCCATGGAGACCTTTACAGATAGGGCTCCTATCACTATAGGATGTACCCTTTACCTGGCAACTGCATATACCTGCTGACTAAATCAAGCCTGACCATCCTCAGAGCATTAAGAGTCTATGCTATAGTGCAGCACCAAGCTGCATGAAGTCCAAGGCTTACAACACACTAGAGATGGTCACTGCAGAGGAGCCCTCTACAGGGCTGGCGACGCCTTGGATAAGAAAAACAGATCTGCTGCTTTGTAAGCAGCTCCAAGTTTACTGATGCTTAAGGAAGAAAGTCACAAAAGAAAGATGGCAGTTTGGGTTTCATTTAAAAGCAATCAGTTAAAACAGCTGGACCACATAGCTGGTTCCCCCTAACGGGCTGGAGGTACAACTAAGAGTTCATCTCTAAATGTAGATTCCATGGACTTGGTTATCTTATGCCTTTCCCTTCACCAGGGCTGTGAAAGTGGAGCATGAAGAGACCAAGGGGATTCACTGCCGTCCTCATATCCAGGTACCATGCCACCTTGGGTCAGTGACAGCGGCTTGTGCACCCTGCCTTGGAAAGTTGTGACTGCAGAGCCCTAGATGAAGGTGTCAGCATTGATTCTAGGGTTCTGATGATTCTACTCCAGAAAGATGCATGAAGAGGTCTCCAAGCTCTGTCACGTCAACATCATCTGTGTTGGTGACCTGCTGGGTTTCTCGGTTCTCGATAAAATCCCAAAGCCGCACTGAATTAAAGAACTGCAAAAACAGCCAAAAAAGCACACCTGGGTCAGTGGAGATGGCAGCAGACACCGAGTCAGCTTGCTTTGCTTTTCTTGACCCCAAAGCTCTGCTGCCAAAGCTATTAGGAGGGAAATTCCCACAACACCCCTAACCAGCTTACCCTCACAGTGCCTTCAGAACTCAGCTGCTTCCGAGGTTTCTCTGGTTCTGCCAGCCGTCCATCCGGGTAAGCATGGCGGTAAAGGCACTTACTTCCAAAGGGACAGGTCCCCTTGCCTTGCTCAAAGTATTTACATGCCTTTTTCCTGAAAAGCACACACATGATAGATTAGACTGGATGGATGGATGGATGGATGGATGAGCTGGAGGCGACTTATTGCAGTCACAGTTGTCTGCTGGATGTACTCCGTGAAGGCTGAGTGTGTGGAAGCAGGAGCAGCCCTCCCCACAATCGCAGCAGCCCTCATGTCTCTGCACCAGGGCCCAGCAAGGCTTGGGCACTCCAGGCGCCAAGGTCTGAAGCTGGTTCGCTTGCTCTGCTCAAGTCTCCAAAGCAAGTGGGTTAGTTTCCTTTCTTCTTAGTTACGGATCCTGTCAAAGTAGGTCTTAGATGCCTCAAGCATCTAAGTGCCTTCCATTTTTAGAGCTTCATTTAACTCTTCCTTGTACCTTTGGTCTTTCTCCACTGTTTGGAGATTTTTTTTTCTTTTTATAGCTTAGACAGTAAACTCTAAGGTCTCTAAGGGCGCTTCACCCTTAGGTGCTTCAGAACTGCCTCCTACATGGCGATCTACATTTGTAATCCCGAACCTCAGGAAGCAGGGGCAGAAAGGTATCCATGAGTTTGAGGCCAGCCTAGTCTACAGATAGTTCCAGCCTAGTCAGAGCTATAAAGCAAGACCCCATATCAAAAACAAACCCACCAGGCAATGCTGATATACTCCTTTAATTCCAGTACTTGGGAGGCAGAAGCAGGCACATCTTTGTGAGTTCAAGACCAGCTTGGTCTACAGAACTAGTTGCAGGACAGCCAGGGCTACACAGAAGAACACTGCCTCAAAAATAAACAAGCAAACCCAACAAAACCAAATAACAAAAAAACACCTCTGCCTTCTCTAGGCCAATTCTTACATGGCCTTCCTCTTTTTCCTCTAGCCCTACATATCCACCCACCAAAGTCAAAAGCTCCAGCTTGGCCACCAGACTGTGCTCTCGGCTCACACCCATGTAAGCTATTGACAAAACTAACCCAAACCGACTGGCCTTCTAGTTTTCACTGTCCCATTGCCAGGGTTTCAGTCACCCTTGCCACCCACCTGCCAGTCAGGTCTTCCTTAATGCCTTCTCTTCTCTACTAGTAACTCCAGCCTCTTCAAAGGAGCCTGGTGGAGTTGTGCTATCTAGCCCACAAGAGCAGGGTATTCAGGCTCCATGTGGTTTTCTTCTCGCACCCAAAGTAGACAGACCCAAGTGCTTTCTCTGCTCTGGCTTAGATCACTAATGAAATCTGCCACCGCACTGCCCTGTCACACTTTGATGAGAGATGATCTCACTCATCTCTCTGCTGGTGGCACTTGGCAGAAGCTCATGTTCTGAAGACTGTTCAAGAACATCACCAAAGGGACACAGCCAAGCAAGATCAACAGCACTAAGGTGACTTCTAACCAGCACAGCACCTTTGTAAGCCCAGCCAGCTCTGTCTTGCTGCATCTGCCCTCTTGTGGATGGATAATTGTATGACAGGAGGGAAAAAGAAGGTAAAATGGGTAACTAGATAAATATAAAAACTTCCAAAACAAATAACAGGAAAAAAAAAAACCTTAAGGAAAAAGAAGTGAATTTTGGCCAGGCATGGCATGGTGGTGTAAGTCTTTGACTGTAGTGCTTGGGTAACAAGCAGGTAGGTTCTACGAGTTCCAGGTCAGCTAGGGCTACACAGTGAGAACCTGTCTCAATAAAAATGACAAAAAGAAAAACAAAAAGTGAGTTCTAGATGGCAAATCTGATGCTGCCTTGTGGGTTTTGTAATAAAGTAAATATAACATGTATTATTCACAGTATCAGTGGCAGGATGACAAAGGTCAGATAAAAGGCAATATGAATATTCTGTGAGAAATTCCTAGAAAACTATTTCTTCTAAAAAGATGCTAGGTGTGGTTGTACATGTCTGTAATCTTAACACTAGGGTGGCTGAGGCAGAAGGTTGAGGCTAGACTAGGTGACAGAATGTATTGGGTGTCGTGGCAAGCATGTGGGGGCCAGTCCTCATCTTGCACCTCATCTGAGGCAGGGCATCTTTGCTAGAGTGTGAGTTGTATAAGGCTGGCAACTGTCAGCTTCTCTGAGTGATGCCATGGCCCCCTGCAATGGCCATGTCCTGTGAAATAGATAGCAGATCCTCAACAGGCCCTTGTTAAATGCATGGAAAATCAGAGATGCCAAAGTACCCTCAGGGTTCATCTTAGAACTCATCTGCTTCCTCAAGGCTTCGCTCAGCTCTGCAGCCCAGAGCCCAGCAAAGTGCCTGACAGGAGCACGAAACTCTCAGATCCACCCACCAGGTCCAGATGACACAGGCTCAAACCACACTCAGCCAGGCAGGCACCAGGATCCCCTATGAAATCAATCAAGGCACTTACCCCATTCCCTGTTTGAAAGCTTCAATCAATTCATTCTTTTTATTCTGATCTTCTACCCAGTACACACTTGGAATTACAAACTCTGATATCACACGGCACTCTGGACAAGACCTGAAGAACAAACAAACAAACAAACAAGGTTTATAAGGGAGAAAATATATCATGAATCCTTTGCACATTCCACTCTGAAACCCCTTGCTCAAATGCATAGCCAGAGACACAGTCACATTCTCTAAGAGCAGCTTGTGCTGCCGAAAAGGTTCAACTCAGTAAGAGACAGATCTGAGCATTCATCCAGGACAGCCAGTAAGCAGACAAAGCGATGCTCATTATCTTCAGTGACTACAGAAGGCAAGATGATATAAGATACACTTTCCTATGACAGCTGAGATTAGATTAGAAATAAAGGCAAGCACTGGAGAGGATGTGAAGGAACTGGAATCCTTATCTGCAGATAAGAGTAGGACACAGCTTCAGTTGGAAGCCAAACTACTGTGACACTCCTGGGGTCTAGACTTGTGTGAGTGCCCACTAGCTGGAGAGCAGGTTACAAGCTGTTCTCAGTCAGAGCACTCTTCACCCATATAGCATGCTCAGAGATGGCCCTGGGAACATTTGCTAAGACAGGCTATACACAATGACGGGCAGAGTAAGGTATTTGTAGAGAAAGAACCTAGGATGGAGGCTACCTGACAGAAGGGCAGGTGGCAGTACAGGCTTGGGGGATGATGAAGTTTCTGAAACTAGACTGCATGTCAGCTGAGCAACTAACTCTGCAAAGTACTGAACACTGCAGAACTCTACTGTCTCTCTCGGTGAAGCTGCTGCACACAGGCAAGTTCTCCAACATGCACCAGGCAGTAGAAGTGCACAGGAGGGAGCCATATTCCGAAGGAGTACCAATCCCTTATTAAGGTTAAAAAACATGAATATGTTATAAGGCAGACACAACAGACTGTCCAGAGTTCTCGAGGTCTTCAGGACAGAACCTAGCCAGCAACAACTGGCAGTTCAGCTCAGAAAGGATGACTTGTGCAAGCTCACACAACTCGGGGGTCTCAGCTTTGGAGGGCAGCAGCCTCCAAGCCTACGAGAAGCCCAGCTGCACTTACTTTATGATCGGGTTTTCAAACTGCTTGGCACATCTCCACTGGCGGATGCAGGACAGGCAGTAGGTGTGGCTGCAGCTGGAGAGAATGCCAAACCTCCTCTCAGATGCAGATGCCTTCTCCAAGATCACCTCCATACAGATGCTGCACACTTTGTCCTGGCTTGCTTGGAAGGCAAAAGCCTTTTCCATCTCATGTTCAAATGTTGACATACACATCTGAGGATGACAGGAGGGAAGCCTTAGTTGTCTTTGGCCAAGACCCCAGGAGTTGCTCAGTCACAGTCACAATAGCTGTTAAGAACAGTACCTACAATCCCTGAATTCAGGACACAAGATCTAACCAAAAAGTAGACCTCAAACCACCTTGTCCTTGTCCTGGGTCCCCTAGTAGGCTATGGTCACTATCAGCTTAACAGCCATGGAGTTCTAGAATACTGTGGCATTTATGAGCACTGGGCCACAGGTCTCTGGTTCTTCTCGATGTCATGCCTATTCCACACCACATCAATACAGGAAACGCCAATAACTATGACGAACTGAGTGAATCCAAGTGAACGAAGGCAGATGAGAAGACCCAGGCCCCTGCTCTGGGCTGTACACAGTGCTCTACGCACATGAATAAAGAGGAGACCCAACTGAGTTCCACAGCTTGCTACCCCACTGCCCCATGGTGGCTGGATTTCCAGGAATGCTGTCTGCTAGCATGTGCATTAGGAGTCCTCTGGGACACAGGTCTTCTCCGGGTCAAGAGAGGCCATGACCATTTTATCCCATGTAATTACCAAGTCCTTAGAGGAGGTAACCCTGAGCTTCTTCCCTTCTATAACCCATCTTCATAACCCTGAAATGAGGGCAGCCTAATGTGAGGCACAGCCTACACACAGGGACATTCATGACCTTTCAACACTTGGCTCCCAAGAGTCCATGATAAAAAGGAAAGGACTAGATAGCAGTTAAGAGCTCTTGTTGCTCTTCCAAAGGGCTTGCATTTGGGTCCTAGTACTCTCATCAGGCAGCTTACAACTGCTTCTAACTCCAGCTCGAGGAGTCTACACCTCTCTCTCTACAGAAACTCACGTGTGCGCTCACACACACACAAACACACATATACATGCACATAAAATTGAAAGAAAAGTCCATAATAAAGGTTTTTCAAAGTTTCCAAAATATTGGCTGCCTGGATGCCAACAGGAGATGTGTGACCCTAGGGAGGGGAGATGTGACAGTCTGAGTGCACATGTGGTTAGAAGGCAGCACAGGCACGTGTGCTCCTGAGCTGGGTGGGCTGTTTTCTTTACTTTGCATTTCTTTTACTCATTAGCTTTCTCAAAGAATCTACTTAATGTTCTGTGAAATGAACGCATTTTTATTTTTTATTTTTTGAGACAGGGTTTCTCTCTGTGGCTTTGGAGGCTGTCCTGGAACTAACTCTTGTAGACCAGGCTGGTCTCGAACTCACAGAGAACTGCCTGCCTCTGCCTCTCGAGTGCTGGGATTAGAGGCGTGCGCCCCCAACGCCAGGCTGAAGCTTCTTTTTTTTAAAATGATTTATTTTGGTATTTTTTTTTAATTTTATTTTTAAAGATTTACTTATTATGTATACTGTTATGCATGCATTATGTCTCATAATGGATGGTTGTGAGCTACCATATGGCTACTGGAACTGAACTCAGGACCTCTGGAAAAGCAGCCACTACTCTTAACTGCTATGCAATCTCTCCAGGCCCCAATTTATTTATTTTTATTTTATTTGCATTGGCGTTTTGCCTGCATGTATGTCTGTGTGAGGGTACTAGATCCCCTGGAACTGGAGTTACAGACAGTTGTGAGCTGCTATGTAGGGGCTGGGAATTGAACCGGGTCCTCTTGAAGAGCAACCACTGAGCCACTGAGCAGTACTTTGCAGTTCTTAAAGCTTGATTTATTTTATCACTATTATTGGTGTGGTGTGTGTGTATGTGTGTGTGTGTATGTGTGGGGTGTGTGTGTGTGTGTGTGTGTGTGTGTGTGTGTGTGTGTGTGTGTGTGTACGTACATGCATGAGGTTCTTGTGGAAGTGAGAAGAGGATGTCTCTCTGGAGCTGGAGTTACATGAGGTTGCATAGAGCTACCCAAAGTGGGTCCTAGGAAGTGAACACTGGTCCTCTTGCAAGAGCAGCAAGTAGTCTTAATTGGTAAGTCATCTTTCCAGGCCTGAGTTTTGCATTTCTAATATTTCTTATTCTTCTTTGTTCTAAATAATCAAAACTGATAAAATGGGAGGGGAGGTTGGTGGGATGCATGGGAGGATGGGAGGGAGAGGGAACTGGAATTAATATATAAAATATTCTAATTTAAATAAAAAAAATACCAAACAGGGGTCAAGAAAAGCAAACAAAATGGCACAGAAATAGAACTTGAAAGTAGAGTAAAAGTAAACCAGGTATACAACATAGGCACTCCCGACAGAATGAGACTCCAGACTCTGTCCCTGGTACATTCAGGTCTCTTAAAATGAGTGCACGCCAAGGTTTAAGTTACCTTCTCATGAGCTTTCCTTTGCTCTGGGTCAAAGGGGTGCAGAACTTGAAGCCTGCAGATCTCACACATGTCCCCATGCAGGTAGACACAGGAATCTCCAAACCGGCACTCCCCAGCAGCAGCGTAGGGGCATAATTGCTGCTCGTTGCTATAGGAGCTGCTGGCCTCCAAGTCATCCAGGCCACTCCTGATGGCATCTAGGTAGGAATGGGGCTTCATCTCTGGGCTGGTCTGAGGGTCACTGCAGCCACCTGGGTTATTCACTGTGCTCGGTAGAGTCTTGTCTTCAGCCTGGCCAGTGAGATCTCAACACAAAATGCAAACATATGCAACAGATATGAGAACAAGCTCATCTTTCACATCAGCTACTAGCCCAAATTAGGAAGAGCTAGAGAAAAGCAGGTCAGAGAACAACAGTGCAGAGGCTGGGAGATGGCCCAGGAAGTCAAATGCAGATGCCAGAACAACAGAAGAGAATGGGGTCTTCTTATACAAAACACAAAGATGTCAACATACAGACCATTTAATGCTAAAACCACCCCAAGACATGAAATCCCAAGGGGAACGACCCCAAGTTATAGGAAATCCTCCTGAGGTCCAGCAGCACAAAAGCCTTTCCCACTTGGTAACTTCTTTCTCACAAACCTGGGTCTCAGCCCAGACCCCTTCCTTGTCCTTTGTCTGAAGATACTCTTCAAATCCCCAAAGCAGTCACTACTAGGATATGGCACCAAACCAGGAGAAAGTGACCTGCCCTCCATTAAACATCCAGCTTTGCCAGGTGGTGGCACATGCCTTTAATCCCAGCACTTGGGTGGCAGAGGCTGTCGGATCTCTGTGAGTCAACTTGGTCTACAAAGTGAGTTCCAGTACAGCCAGGACTGTTACACAGAGAAACCGTCTCAAAAAACAAAAACAAAAACAAAAACAAAACACACACACAACACACACACAAAAGCAAAAGACCTAACAAAAACCCTACCCAGCTTCAGAATGAGTAGCCTGGGGCTTCTCATCTGTAGGTGACCTTATAAGAGGCAACTTCAGGGCAACAAAAGACCACTCTGATGCTTTGCTGGGCTCAGACCAGCTGTGAAGATGCGCCCCTGGACCTCTGCAGCCTGTTTCAGACAACTCTGGGCTCCTGGGTGTCAGGATTCCCTGAGCAGCAGCACTAAGCCGGCATGCTGCTTCCCCAGCAGCAGTGGAGGTTGCAGTCACTCACTTCGGTCTCTGAGCACCAGCGTCTTCTTCTCTCGCTTCCCCGGTTCATGCAAATGTGTCCTCATAACAGATGTGGCAATGTCTGGAGAAGGGTGAGGACTGGGCAAGCCTGAGGATGGCAAAGAGTGGGGTGCAGGGCCAACCGCTCCACCTGCTGCAGCTGGGGGCTTTGTATGATCATATCTGAACAAAACACAACAATGTATGATGGCCATGCAGGCCCTAACACCTGCACACACACCCACATACTACCTGCCCTCCCAGCGACGAACTACTGGACTCACTAAGGTAGGCAAGGGCTTGTCTCTATACTCCCAACTAGAAAAGGCTATTGGGGTCATGTAACCTATACCACCACTACCTTTACCCACCCCTAAGTGTCCTAGTAGGACTGACAGGAATCCACCTACTTAAGAGAGTCCCGGGTAGGAATCTCCAGAATACAACGATCGGGGTGGGTAATGGCTGGGAAAAGCAGGTGGCTATCTCAAACTCTAGAGCTCTGTCAGACAGCAGGACTAGATGGGCTCTGCTCACACTGTTGTCCAGTCTGGAGCAACAGGCTGTGTGTGCATGAATGCCATTAGCCTCCCGTCAGAAGTCACTCAAGCATGAACTGGAAATGGCTTAAATGGCATACCACACCTATACACACACACACACACACACACACACACACACACACACACACACACACACACACACACACACACACACACACACACACACACGGGGATAGGCTGGTGGCAGGGAAAGTCTGATGTGCTATATGGGGTTTAAAAGCAAGACACAAATCATTAATATTCTAAGTACAACTCTAAGTTGAAAATCTCCCTCATTAAGACCCATGCACAGGCAGGTATACGGCATACACTTGTATCCCCACCACTGGGGATGGGGGCAAAGCCAGCCTTGGCTACATAACAAGTCTGAAGTCAGCCTGGGTGGCATAAGCTGTCAACAAAACTAAACCCAACCCCCATCCTTCACACACAGCTTCACAGTAGCCCCAGTCATGGCAGCCTTGCCTGCAGCGTGTGCCATAGGCACAGTAGCCCTTCTGGTAGTACTTGCAGATGGTGGACGGCTTGCTGTTTGCCAGATCATGTGAGAACAGGCACTGGCTGCCTTCACGACACACGCCATGCATAAAATACCTGAGGAGACAAGCACAGAACAGCCGAGTCACACGGGGAAGGTGGCACTCTCAGCACTATGCATACAGCCCCGCCCATGCAACCTCTTCTTTCTTGATTTAAACATGCATCACAATGACCCAAGACTAGCTTTTAGGAAGAAAAAGATCTCAAAAGTTTCTATGTTGGGGCTGGAGAAATGGTTCAGTGGTTATGAGCACTTGTGGAGGACCCAGCTTTTTTTTTTTTTTTTTTTTTTTTTTGAGGTTTTTCGAGACAGGGTTTCTCTGTATTGTTTTTGGAGGCTGTCCTGGAACTCTCTCTGTAGACCAGGCTGGCCTAGAACTCACAGAGATCCACCTGCCTCTGTCTCCCAAGTGCTGGGATTAAAGGCGTGCGCCACCATCGCCCGGCTAGAGGACCCAGCTTTTGTGGAGGACCCAGCCTCTGTTCCTAGCATCCATACTTCAGCTAACAAACAACTGAAACTCCAGTCTTAGGGGGGTCTGATGCCCTCCCTCCTCTGGCCTCTTTGATCACTGCATGCATGCGGTGTATAGACATACATGCAAGTAAAGCACTCATACACATAAAATACTTCAAAACTCTTCTATATGGATAAGCTCTTGATTTGTGTTAAATATGTAAGATATGAGCTATTGGGGAAACATGTCCACTCTCCCCAGTCTCATGGAGCTGTTGAAAGAGACAACTAAATGGCAGGAGAAAAGACCTGGGTTCAAGCCAAGTCACAAGTCCTTTTCCTTACCCTTGCACCTGTAAGTGTAGAGATGACACCACCTACTGTTTCATGAGGCTATTGCAATGAGCCCCAAAGAAGACAGTGTGGCATCAAAAGGCATAAGGGATGCTGGGCATGGTGGCATAGGCTTGAAATCCTAGCCTGTGGGCAGGGTGCTTGCCTAGCATGTGCTAAGCCATGGGCTTCATTCCCAGCACAAAATAAACCAAATGCAATGGTATATGCCTATAGGCCCAGCACTCAGAGGAGAGCCAGGAGGATCAGAAAATCAAGGTCATTCTTCGTTATATAACAAATCTGAGCCAGGTGGTGGTGCACGCCTTTAACCTCAGCACTTGGGAGACAGAGGCTGGCAGATCTCTGTGGGTTCCAGGTTCAGCCTGGTCTACAGAGTGAGTTCCAGGATAGGCTCCAAAGCTACAGAGAAACCCTGTCTCAAAAAAACAAAAGCAAACATACAACAAAGACATCCCAAAACAAACAAAACAAAGAATTAATAATAAAAATTCACAAACAAAACCAAAAGTAGTATGTACATATAATGGAATATTATTCAGTCTTAAAAAGGAAAACATTTCCAACTCAAAACTACATGAATGAGCCTTAAGGACATTGTGCCAAGCAAAAGAAGCCATCACCACAAATACATGTGGGGTACTTTCAACAGTTAAATTCACCAAGGCAGAAAGCAGAGGGACTGTTGGCAGTTAAGGGAGAGATGAGAGTTCAGCACAGTATTCTCTCTCACAGTAAGAGCTCTGGAGATTGATTATACAACTGTGAATGTACCAAGACCACAGAACTGTGTGCGACTTAGGCACCCTGGCAAAGCCCAAGCTATTAGAGTCACTTTCTCACAATGTTTTTAAGGTTTCTACTCCTATGCTGAACACCATGACCAAAAGCAGTAAGAGGGAGAAAGTTTATTCCCGCTTCCAATCCATCACTGAAGGACATCAGGAAAGGAACTCAGGCATGAGTGCTGCTGCCTGGCTTGCTCAGCTTGCTTTCTTTTACTGCCCCTCCCACATCAGTTACTAACCAAGAAGCAGCAGCAACAGGCTTTGCCTACAGACCAATCTGACGAAGGCATTCTCAAGACCCCTCTTCCTACGTAACTGTGTTAAGTTGACAAACACCAAAGCAAACAAATCAACCAATCAGGACGCACAGTGTTCTTTAAAAATTGCTATATACAAGATCTCATGTTGTTTAAAAATATTATAAACATAAACTAGTATGCTAAGACTGGTGACCCACGCAAGTTCCGAACGATCTAGGATAAGGGGGACTCCCAGAAGGGTTAAAAAGGAGGGTGGGGGGTGGGCGGGGATAAGCTCAATATATAAGGGGCAAAAACTTTAAAAGCTGGTGATGCCTACAGCAGGCTGGTAGAATCTAGGCCATCATGTGGCATTTTCCTTACTTCAGCACCTGCACTTCCCAACGTTTCTGCTGTGAACACATTATGTAACTGCCTTTGTAGTAACAAAACGCTGATGTTGCTTGTAAACGCCTGGATGCAGTGTAAATTGCTCAGTTCGGTTTTATTCAGACTCCCCAGAGTGCAGCTTATTAAGGTCTATAAAGGACAGGTCTATAAAGGTCCCATGGACATAACCTTCCAAGTTCAGGCTGAGTGAGTGTGGGGAAGCAGAGACAGGAGACACAGGCCACTAGCTGAGGGAGGGCAGTCTTCCCAAGCTCATGTCAGCACTAGATCACACTTCGTGGAAGAAATGGACCAAAAGAAAAGAAAGGGCATGGTGATGAGGTGTGCAGGCCTGCTGGGAGCCTAGACTGGGGACCATGGACCATTTCTCACCAGGTCACCTGGTGTCAGCTGTAACCCTGCTGTGCTCAAAATGAGGTAGGTGCCCAGGAAGCTGAAAGACATGCTGCTCAGGCCAGGCTTTCTGGAGACTCCAGAACATCCCCCACTGAGGCCAGCAGCCTTCAGATGTGCACACTGCATTGAGGAGGGGCCTGAAGAAGGTAAAACATCCCTTTACAAAAGGCTCAGAAATGCGTTTCTATAACAGATTTATTGGAAAAGAATATTTTAAAATTTACTTAAGAACACATAAGCCAGGCACTTGAGATGCTGAAGAGGTGGACTGCCACAGCTAAATGCCAGACCAGCTACATACAGCACCTTGTAGAGAAAAGGAAAACACACACACACACACAATGTCCCTCACCAGCCAAAGTGGACCAGCAGATTTGGTCCTGAGCTACAGCCACCTGCATTGCTACTGGTCTGCCTGGTTTATCTTGCACCCTCCCTTTTGGTAAAGAACCCTATGGAAGTAGACTTTTGGGTAGCGCCTCCTTACATCCCACTGAACCAGAGGACAGTGCCCAATTAGCGATGGGGCTGGCAGGCTGCTGAAAATCTTGCTTATGGAGAAAGCTGGAGAGTTGGCCAGGCCCTCTTACCCCCACCCCCATCTGATGAAAGGGATAGCAATCTCACGATCAGAAATTGAAAGCTGTCACGGCTCTGAGCTTTTCTAGGAAGCTACCCAGATTTCCCAGGAAACACTTCCCAAGTTAGGCACTGTTCGGTAACTTGCTAGACGGCTGACTGGAAAAGAAAAGGAAGGGAAAGAAGGGAGGGTTGAAGACCTCATGGGGAGCCCATGACATTCAGAGGCCCTGGGCTCCATTCTTAGCAGGCAGGGGCGGGGCAGAGAGCAAGTAAAGGCCATGGAAAGGAGTCAGTCACTACAGCAGCTCGGAGACTGGTAACCTCTGAGCTGGCCTAGGAACAGCCTTTGGCTTCTAGAAGCTGCTGGTATAGTCAGAGTTCCTACACTGACAGAGTTTCTCACTGTGCCTCAACTGTTCCATGCTGTGGTTCATACAAAGTGCACTTCCTCTTGGGCCTGGAACGTCAAGTCACAGGCAGAAGCTGCACTGGCCCCCCACTGCACCCTACCTGGTACCTCTGGGTAGGAAAAGTGCTTCTACAGGGGTAGAAGCAGCCCTCTGGACTCCTGCTCTCCCTGCCTGGCTGTGTATCCTTGCTAAGCCAGTGTAACAGCCTCAGTCTAGAGTCTAGCTATATGCTAAACACCATGACTCTATCCAGTCTCCAGGTGTGAGGATGGTTAATCCTGGGACTCCCCCAGATAAGAAGATATGTATATCCTCAGCTGACCCTGAACTCCTAGACTTAAGTGATTCTACGACTTCTCTGCCTCAGACTCAAGTGGCTGAAAGTATGGGCACACCACCACCACAGGCTTGGTGAATCTTTAATGCCATCAAGACTGCAGTGAAGCAGAGTAGGAGGACACACCTGTAATCCCAGCACTCAGGCTGAGCTGGGGACTGCAAGCTGAAAAGTAACTTGGGCCATAGACAGGAGACTCAGTCTCAAGAAAACAAAACAAAATGACTTAATATATTGTAACCATCCATAAATTGGAACTCTGAGGGCACAGAAACAACCTGGTGCCAACAGTCAACCTGCGAAGATTAGGGCTGGTAAACGCCAACACATGGTGGCAGGCAAGCTCACAGTGGCTACAAAACCAGAAGGCCAGGTGTGGTGAAGCACGCCTTTAGCCCAGCACTTGGGAAGGAGAGGCAGGCGGATCTCTTGAGTTTGAGGCCAGCCTGGTCTATGTGGTGAGTTCCACAGGACAGTCAGTCTGTCTCAAAACAACTACAAGCTCGGGGAGCTAAGATAATGGATACTTGATAGTCTTCTGGAAAAAAAAAGACTGCTTCCAGGAAAGCTAGTGAGTGGAGTCTCGTGTCAGAAGTGAAGCCAGCACAGCCTTCTTCATGTGCTGTCACCAGTGACACACACAACCTGAGCACATGCTGCCTCTCCTCTGGGTCGTGCTCATCTGAGCTTAACCAGGGCATCTCAGCGTTGAAACTGCTGACCCGCCCCCAAAAGAGAGGCTAGGTATGGATTGGAGGGGACGACGAAGGGGCTTAAACCTCACAATAGGGAGGTTCCTTCTGAGTGTGGCTCACTACAGACCCCAACCTGCCCCAAATCATCCATGGAGCTGAGGCCAACCTCAATCAAGAGAATCAGTCTGGTTTCCTGCAGGGCTTCAGTTGTCTCTTCAAAACTGCTTCTCCAACTCTTTCCATACACAAGTAATTTACAGTCTGAGATTCAGAATCGCCTCTAGCACACCATGGGAGCAGCTCTTAGTGTGTGGACGCATGGCCATGAGATGCATGTGAGGTGATGGCTGGAGGCCAACTCAGGTGTCCTCTTTTCATTTACTTGTTTATAGTGTGTACATGCGCGCTTGCACTTCAGCAGGGACGACGGTAACCTGAATCACTCTCAGCCCTCCAGTGCCTCTGAAACAGGCATCTCTCACTGGTCTGGAGCTCACCAGGTAGGCCAGTGAATACTCAGATTGTCTTGGTTATAACTGGGTGTCTGACTCCACAGCACTGGGATAGCAAACATCCCAGCATACCCAGCATTTTCACATGAGCTTTCAGGATAGAACTCATGTACAAGCTTGCAAGACAGTGAGCTGACCCTCAGCTCCTTGTGCTATTTGATACTATAGAATGAGGGGTATTCAGGGTTAGGTTTTAAAGTCATCAAGGCTGGGAACACTGCTTCTCATATGTGGTACACAACAGCCAAGCTGTGCATAGGGTCATTTCAGACATTTGTGGAAGTCCTGTGCTAATGCCAAGCCAACACTCAGCTAGTAATTTATGAAACAAGTCACATGGCAATTTTTGAAATAAAATCTACTTAACACAATCCAAAGATACACTAACTTGGTGTTTGTATGCTTGCTGAGGTATGGGTAGGGAAATATGAAAAGTCTTTGTTTTCCATAATTAAGTCACTGTATCTCTGCAAGACGCACGCCCTGCAACTCATAACACTGACTGGAGCAGTGGGTGGCATGAAGGCCAGCCTGGTCTACAGAGTGGGTTCCAGGCCAGCCTGGTCTACAGAGTGGGTTCCAGGCCAGCCTGGTCTACAGAGCGAGTTCCAGGACAGCCTCCAAAGCCACAGAGAAACCCTGTCTCGAACTCCCCCAAAAAAGAAATTTGGCCCCAGTCCCACAAACAAATCATCCCTTGAGTTAAATGTTTTAGTGAATAAAGTGAGAAAATATCCCAGTCTCAGCACAAATGCAAACTTGGTACTACCAGTGATTCTTAATGTTTCCCACTTAAATAATGTTTTATATCTAGCAGGGTCCAACTCCTTCACACCCCTTTAAAAAACAAAACAAATCTGGGTGGTGATGGTGCATGCTTTTAACCCAGGCAGAGGCAGGTGGATCTGAGTTTGAGACCAGCCTGATCTACAGATCCAGTTCCACCAGTTCCAGGATAGAGAAACCCTGTCTAGGGGGAAAACACACACACACACACACACACACACACACACACACACACACACACACACACAAAAGAACAAAAGCTCTGAAACATCCTCCAGGGGGACACAAGCTATGAGACTCAATGTTAGTGATAGACTTGTACCACTGTGAAGCTAAGCTTAGGAAAAACCTGACAGGCCTGAGGTTGTTTCACTTCAGGAGATGACAAGTTCATAGATCAGGACTGTGATGGTTGCCACTGACTGCAGTCACTGAGGAGATAAGTCTCTGGCATGTCTGTGAGATTAAGTCAGCTGAGGTGGGAAGAGTCAACATGAATATGGTATATCATTCCTTAGATTGGAGTCAAGACTGAATAAAAAGGAAAAAGTGAGCTGAGCACCAACAATCATTGCTCTCTGGGTGTGATATGATCCACTATCTCAAGCTCGTATCACATGACTCCCCCTTCATCATGGACTACTAGTCAGAATGAGCCCTTCCCTTATTAAGCTGCCTTTGTCAGGTATAGTAAAACCACACAGCATCACATACTGTATGACTTGACAAAGCTGCAGAAAGAAGCCCAAACACCAGTTAGCCCTGCAACAGAAACTATCCTTTCCCAGCACTCCAACATTTTTTTCCAGACAGGGTTTCTCTGTGTAACAATCCTAGCTGTCCAGGAACTCATTCAGTAGACCAGGTTGGCCTCCACCTCACTGAGATCCGCCTGCCTCTGCCTCCCAAATTCTGGGATTAAAGGCGTGCACCATCACTGCCAGCCCTAACATCCCAATTCTTAAGAGCAGCATCCCATAGGACTCTCTTAGAATCAAAATAACTTAAGCATTACGTAAAGATTCTGTAGACACACATCTCAGAAAAGTCTGTAAGTGGTAAAATTAAACCATAAGGCAGCAGTGTGGCGGCACATACCTTTAATCCTATTGAGGGAGGCAGAGTAGGTAAACCTGAGTCCAAGGTCAACCTGATCCACACATTGATCTCCAGAACAGTAAGGCTACTTAGAGCCTGTCTCAAACAAACAAACAAACAAACAAACAAACAAACCATAAGCTGAGTTTTAGAAGTTATTTTCTAAGTAGCCTGAATCTAGTTTACAGGACACCATGATAGGAGCATTTCCTCCTGCAAAGGGAAGGGAGTAAATAAACACACATTCTGGTACCAATGATCCACAAGTACCATTACAGACTGTCTTAGAGTTTCTGTTACTGTGACAAATTACCATGACCCAAAGACACTTGGGAGGAGACTTATACTTCTGGGTAACAGTTCATCACTAAAAGAAATCAACCAGCGGGGCCATGAAAGAGTGCTGCTGATTGGCTTGTTTAGCCTTTCTTACAATACCCAGGACCACTAATCCAGGGGTGGCACTACAGGGAGCTGGGTTGTCCCACATCAATCAAGAAAATGAACCACAGGCTAGTACGGTAGAAACATTTTCTCAATTGAGGTTCCCTCTTCCCAAATGACTCTGGCTTGTGTCAAGTAAACATAAAGCACAGACACTAACTGCAATTTTCCTGGTAACTACTTAACATAAGCCGGGCTCTGGGTACTTGGCTCAACCCTTATATCAAATTTGAAACGAACTCTTCACAAAGGCATCATGGCCAGGCGGTGGTAGCACACGCCTTTAATCCCAGCACTTGGGAGGCAAAGTTCCAGGACAGCCTCCAAAGCCACAGTGAAGCCCTGTCTTGAAAAACTAAACAAACAAACAACCAACCACAAAGGCGTCAGGTACCATGCAACAAGGTGTTAGATGAAATGCTTATCACATAATCAAAAGACATCTCGGTTTCTTAATTTACAGAAACCAACTGAAACTTGTATAAGCTGAGGCTCCTCTACTCAAAATGCTTGGGCTGCGGAGTTTCTTAATTTTTCTTTTTTTTTTTTTTTGTATTTTAGAGTATTTTCATGTACAAGTTTTGGGGATGGCACGAACGAAAGTGTAAACATAGAATTCATCATTTCATATATGCTTATAAACACATCCTGAAAAAAATTATAGAATATTTCCTAACTTTGTATTTTAATATAACAAAATTTCATGCTGTGGAATTTTCCACATGTAGCATCATGCCGGCACTCAAAAAGTTTGGGATTTTGGAGCATTTCGAAATTTGGATTTTTTACATTCGGGATGCTCACACGCTGCATTTCCCAAACATGCAAATCCACAGGACTAAACCCCCCAAAAAGCCACAAGCTCGTCACCGAGTTGCGACGTTGCTATTCAACCCAACTATTTTTACTTCAAAAGTAGCTTTCTAGTTCTCCATTTCGTCTAACAAGCCATCCATTGCAGCCGTCTTTCTGCTCCTAAAGGGGTCTCGCTCTAGCCTCTTTCGGTGGTCTCAGTTTCCTGCACCGCCAAAAGGAGCTATCCGCTCAGGATGAGGACTGCGAGCAGCCCGCGTCCCCCGCTATCACCCCTCGCTCACTCTCTGCAAGCCGCCGCTGCAGCTGCTCCTGCCGCTCCATCCTCTCCGCGGCCTTCGAGTTCCTGCCTGTTATCGCCGCTGTACACAGCCCGCCGTGGCTCGGCTCGGCCCCTGGCCTCCCTCCCACGCCCCCGGCAGCGCCCAAGGCCCCGCGGCGCCGCGCACTTACCTACAGGTGACCTGCTTGGTGCTCATGGCGGCGGGGCGGAGGGCTGGAGTCGCGCTGAAGTCTTAGAGCTGCCAGCGCCACGGCCCAGCCCGGCCCCGCCCCGCGCATGCAGTCGCGTCACTCCTGAGCGCGCCACCCCCGCGCGCGCGTCACCTGGAGGGTGCCGGTCGGAAACTTAACCATCGTCATAATTGGTTCCGCCGGGGCGTGGAGCCGGAAGGTCCTTACTCCCTAGAGCTCCGGGTCTCACGTTTCCAAGACTACCGGGCGGAGCGTGTCTGTCATCCTAGACTTGTCAATCGTCTGCAGGGCTGTTACTTCTTAGAGCTTGACCCCCATCTCCCAAGACAGTCTTTTTCAAAAGCAATTTTATTATTTATTTTTATTTTATGATACGGGTATTTTTGCCTGCATTGATGGTTGTGCACCGTGTGCATGCAGTGCCTGCCCAGACGAGAGGAGGGAGTGAGATCTTCTGGACCTGGAGTTACAGACAGTTGTGAGCTGCCATGTGGGTACCAGGAATTGAACTCGGTCCCCTGCAAAAGGAGCCAGTGCTCTTAACTACTGGAGCATCCTCTAATAAGAATGTTTTTATTTCTTTGATAATTTCATATATGTGTACAATGTATCTTGATCATATTCAACCCAAATAGCCCCTCTCCCCCTCTGGTCTTTTTATGTAAATACACACGCATACATAACTCAAGGCAGGAACCTGGAGACAGAAACTGAAGCAGTATGTTTTGTGTGTGTGTGTGTATAATTTTGATCCTTGCAAACTATAGTTATATTTTCAGCTTTGAAAACCTATATCCCAGTTTTCTGTGTTGAATTGGCATTGCATAGAAATTAACAGTATATTGGTCTGGAAACATTGTACTTATTTTTTCCATTTGTATAGAGGTAATGTACTGTACTAAGCATGTAAGGTCTGCTGAGTGCTCACTTCTAAGTAGGACATCTATGTCAACACCCAACCCTGCAAACAAGACTCAGGAAATATGGAAGAAAGGGTAGCAAGAATGTAAAAGCTGGAGGATGGGAGAAGCGCTAGGAAATCTTTCTTCTGGACACGTCATAAAGTCACAGCAGCTGTGGCCACTGGCACAGGACTGGACCTGTGGCCAGATGTGGTGGTTCACGCCTTTAACTCTAATCCTTTAGTCAGGAGTCAGAGGTAGTTAGATCTCTATGAGTTTGAGGCCAGCCTGGTCTACACAGACTAGCCAAGACTATATAGTGAGACTGTGAAAAAAAAAGTAGTGGGCAGAGCTCATTAGCATTCTATCACAGATGCGGGAGGGAGGAATAAGGACCCACCTCCTCCACAGGGGTTGTAAGAAGTCAGTAGTTGCTGGGAGAGGAGAGTCATTTTCCTTGCTGGTGTAGCCACTAGAAAGTTGTCCTTGTTCAGGTAAATGACCCCTTCCATGTTCATGCAAACAGCCTTGTATGATCACAGGTATCTTGGGGGAGGAAAGGATTTATTTCAGCTTACAGTTCCATGCAACTATGCATTACTGAGGGAAGTCAGGGCAGGAACTGAAGAAACAACAATGGAGGAATGCTGTTTACTGCCTTGCTCCCCATGGCTTGCTCAACCTGCTTTCTTATAGCAAGCGGGACAGACAGCCCAGGGGAGGTACCACCCACAGTGAGCTGGGTCCTCCCACACCAATTATCAATCAAGAAAATGCACTGTAGGTTTGTTCACAGGCCAGTCTGGGGGAAGCATTTTCTTAATTGAGGTTCCCTTTTCCCAAATAATTCTGACTTGTGTGTCAAGTTGCAGTAAGAACTAGTCAGTATAGTGGCACATGATTGTAATCTCAGCATTCTAGAGTTTGTTTGGTGGGTTTTTGTTTGTTTATTTTTGTTCTTTGAGACTGGGTTTCTCTGTGTAGCTTTGGAGCCTGTCCTGCATTTGATCTGTAGACCAGGCTGGCCTCAAACTCACAGAGATCCGCCTGCCTCTGCCTCCCAAGTGCTGGGATTAAAGGTATGTGCCAACAATGCCCGGCTGAACTCAGTCCATTTTTTATGGAGTTAATATTTCTTTCTTTCTTTCCTTCAGTTCTAGGGATTTACAAGGGCCTACCACTGAGCTAGTATCCCTGAATCTGGCTGGAAAGTAATAAATGCTATATGTTCTAACCCAGACAGTGGTGATGTAAGTCTTTAATCCCAGCACTTGGGAGGCAGAGGCGGGTGGATCTCTGTAAATTTGAGGTTAGCCTGGTCTATAGAGTGAGTTCCAGGACAGCCTCCAAAGCTACAGAGAAACCCTGTCTCAAAAAAAAAAATGTGTGTTCTTTTTCCTGAAAAAAAAAAAAACACAAAACAGGTCAGTCCCCCCAAGCCCAGAGCCTCTCTGACTAGCGGGAAAACACAAAACTAAATATGAATAATTGACTATAGAGAGTCCTGTTCCAAATGTAATGAGATCTCACACCCTCTTCTGGTCTGCAGGCATGCAGACAGACACTATATACAAAAATTTAAAAAATATTTTAAAAAAACAACAACAAAACCAGAACTATTTCAAGTACTTGAGACTGACTGCTGGGACCCCCTTGGTGGGCATTCTTCTAGATTCTTCTAGAGCCTTGAGGGTGCTTTGTACTGCTGGACTCTCAGATGCTCCAGCAAGAGTTCCCTTCCCTCTGTGACAGATTTTAATTTTTTAACTCTTATTTGATGTACACTGGTTCGGCTTTTGTTTTTATGTACATTGTAAGATGGGTATGTGTGGAGGGGGCGTGTACCTTTAGGGAAACTATTATAGTTTGTTTACCTGAGAAAGAGAAAGGAAGGCAATGTGGGAAATAAGATAATAGATTCAAAAGACTAATGAAAACAAAGCTATTTTTTTTCCCGAGACAGGGTTTCTCTGTGTAGCCTTGGAGATCTATGCCTGTCTATGCCTCCTGAGTGCTAGGATTAAAGGCATGTGCCCAATGCCTGGCTTGTTTTTGTTTTTTGAGCCATGGATTTTTGTGTAGTCTTGGCTATCCTGGAACTTACTCTGTAGACCAGGCTGGTCTTGAACCTAGAAAGTGCTGGGATTAAAGGTGTGCACTACCACTGCCCAGCTAACAAAGCAGTTTTTAATGTACCATTCTGTAGACAGGACACTAGGATAGATAAAAGGCAAAAATGGACCCCTGCTGATTTGACACAAGACAGTGGTTTTTAAAGTCTCCATAATCAGCCAGGAGGTGGTGGCACACGCCTTTGATCCCAGAACCTGGGAGGCAGAGGCAATCAGATCTCTGTGAGTTTAAGGCCAGCCTGGTCTACAGAGTGAGCTCCAGGACAGCCAGGGCTACACATAGAAACCTCGTCACGAAAAACCAAAATAAATGAATAAATAAATGAAAATTAAGTCCCCATAATTATAAGAAATTCCTGCCCCTCTTTCCTTAAGGCCGGGACTTCCCTTCGCTCTAAAGTCCCCATTCAATTGGTTCAGGACACAAAGCCTTATCTAATGAATAATTTGGGGCTTGAGGCTGCCCCTTCCTGACAGAGGACTGAGTCATGCAGCAGGCTGTCTGTACCTTTCCAACTTTCAGAGTTCTGGCACTGGCTGCCAGCTAGGGGAGAGAGAGTCCAAACCCTGTTTATCTCATGACCCTTTGATGAACACTGAGCCCACCCCATACTGGAAATGGACTATAGCAATTCATCTTTCAGCAGGAAGGCAGTCACAATGAGTCTACTGTTAGTACCACATGAAAAGGTTGGAAGAAGGCGAGGCAGGTTTCATGGGAAAGGTTGCACGGGAAAGCAGGGGTGCAAATGTGCAGTGTCTACAAAGAAACTTGGTAAGCCAGCTCAAATGAAAACTAGCTCTTTAAGAGCCCAGCCGGTACAGCCTGGTTACTGGTTAATCTACCTGGCTTAGCTCTTGAAGCTTCCATCCATGATGATGTCACTGTTGATCAGGTTACTCAGGTGGTGTGAATTCACCAACTGCGTAATGAAGAAAAGGAAGTCTCCAGAAACCTGTTCTGGTGGCCCAGGAGTCAGATGGAAATGCACTTCTCGGGAGCCAGCAAGCCTCTAATTAAATTCAGGCACTGCGGGAGGTCCATCTACAGTTTCAGTGTACCCCAATGCTGCCCCCTGTGCCAGGGGGATGTGGGCTCCACCAGGATAGAGGACGCACCTATCAGCATCTCGGACCCGTTCTCCAATGGGCATCAAGAGAAATGCTCCTTCCTCCTCAAACCTACGAGAGGGACGTTCCTTAGGTACAGTGACTTGAGTTATAATGAACTGTGCGTGTGTTTCCTTCCTTCTTTGAAGGACATGTGTTGTGCTGTGCAGTGTGTGTGTGGGTGTTTTGGGTAGACTGTTGTCCTTATGTCTTTGTACATTAGAGTGTGGCTTGCCTGCCTTGGGACGGCCCTGGGTTTTGTGTACACATTTGTGTAGTATGTGAAAAACTGTGCACAGTGTATGAAGATACCTGCCGATTTTAGGAGAATGTGTGCTGAGTGGCTGACTGGGGATAACCTGGCAGTGAGTGCTGCTGGAGGAACACTGTATAACCTTCGACTCATACTCCTGTGGCAAGCAGCTTCAGTGTGCAAAGTACAATTTGAGAGAGAAAGCGCTTGATGGAGGTGAATGAAATTAACAATGAAGTCCAAGGGGCCCTCCCCTTTTCTTTTTATTTCCTCTTCCTTTTTCAGTGCTAGAGGTTGAACCCAGACCTCATACAGGCTGTGTAAGGGGTCAGTGCTCAGTGGAACTCACAGAGATCTGCCTGCTTCTGCCTTCTGAGTGCTGGGATTATGTGAGTTCAAGGCTTAGCATGATCTACAGAGCAAATTCCAGGACAGGCTCCAGAGCTACACAGAGAAACCCTGTCTCAAAAAATCAAAAAACAAAACAAAAAAAAAAAAAAGGAAAGGGAAAGAAAATTCCAGGAAAATTCACAAATCCACATATAAGTGGGTTAGTAGGTTATTATTATTTTTAGATTCATACAATTATCTTTCAATAAAAATATTTTTGATATTACTCAAATATTCAACTTTTCTGGAGCTCCTCACTCATTTGGGTAGATCCAAGTGCCCATCTTGCATTATCTCTGTTCTGCTTCAAAACCTCCCTTTAACTTCTTTTT